GTCAGTCAGCCCGATTCCCGCCGTTTTCCCTGCTTAGAGGCCTTCGCTTCTGCCTGTCCATTTCCTCCTCAGCCGGCCTGCCTCCCTCACTCCACAGCTCTGCACATGTCCAGAGCAGTCGGGGTGTGTACTGTATAGGGCTACTCTTGACTTCTCGAGGAGTTGGTAAGTCTGTGAGGGTCCTTGTCTTAGTTTGGCATCCGTGCCATGCACTTAGCAGGCATTCTGTAATGAGAATGACAGCTACTATTGTTGAGCACATGCCAGCCACTCTGCTAGGTATTTGGCAGATTTCATTTAATCCTTACGACACATCCATCCGCATTTTACAAAGGGATGTGTCAGGATGCTTTCTGGATCTTACCAAAAAGAAGTCATGAGGGACGCTTGGTGATGTCAGTAAAGATCCAGGTAGTTGCTGCCTCTCCTGGTTGCCTTCCTCGGTGTGTTGGTTTATCCTCTTCGGCTGGTTCCCCTTACGGCACCAAGGGGCCTGCCACAGTCCCAGGTTCCATGTGCAGGAGAGGTGACATATGGTCCTTGTGCTCCCTTTAACAGGCCTCTCGGCAGAGTTCCTTCAAAATTCCTCTTGGCCAACACTGGGTCTTAGGCTTGTTCCCAAGCTAGTCACTAATGAAGAGCCTGGAATGAAGGAGACTGGCCTGGACTAGTCAGGTTCAGCCTCTGAGACTCACTGGGGATTCAGGCTCTTTAATGCCCCAGCCACCTGGCCCATGGAAGAAGAAGGGACATGAATGAGGCTCGGTGAAGTAAATAACTTGCTCAAGGTTGCAGACCTTGTAAGAACCAGGATTCGAACCACATCAGGCTGACTCCAAGACCATGTGTTGGTGGGATGAACTAAACCACAGAAGCAGAAGGAGCGTTGCTCAGGATTCCGTGCGCTGGGTTTGAGGGATGGAGGAGGTACCTTTTCTTATAGATTCTTGAGCCTGTCTTCTCTCTAGGCCCCTTTCCATTACTGAATTGGTTTTCCTCTGTTTGTCTTTCTCCCCCATGCCTCCTTTACCCATCTTCCAATGCCCAGCTGCTGCCCTGTCTTCTAGAATAGACTTCATGCCCTTAGCTGAATGGACTGGGCAAGGGCTGATCTCAGTATAGCTGTTAAGGCCCCACGAGGGGTCATGTTGGGGTTTCTTTTAGAGCAGACAAGGGAACTTCAAAGCTCTAAGTCAGCATTTAGGAGAAGGAGCTGCCTGGGAAAATGCCAAGGGGGCTGGGAATGGTAGTGGGAAGTTGACGGTGTACCATGGGCGTGTCAGCAGGCACGTGGGCCAGGGCTTTGGAATAGGCCCATGTGGGACAGCAGCCAGCTGTCCCCCTGCAGAGACAGTGCAGTTTGTTCAGGAGGCTGTTTGGCTTGCAGATGCTTCAGGACTGCCCCAAGGCCCGGCGTGAGGTGGAGCTGCACTGGCGGGCCTCCCAGTGCCCGCACATCGTGCGGATCGTGGATGTTTATGAGAATCTCTATGCCGGGAGGAAGTGCCTGCTGATCGTCATGGAGTGGTAAGTAGCGGTGCCTGTTCTGGCCCTGGCCCAGCTTGTCCCCACTATCTGCCAGGCCCTCACCTTCTGATGACTGCCCAGATGAGCCCTGAAGCTTAAAGTGTCCGTGCTTGATTTTTTTGTGGGTGATGATGGAGAGTGGTAGTGGTGGTGTTCTGTTTCCCAGACCTAACTTTGGCTTGGTTTCAGTTTGGATGGCGGAGAACTGTTTAGCCGAATCCAGGACCGAGGAGACCAAGCGTTCACAGAAAGAGGTAAAAAGAGTCTGCTGTGGAGCAGGCCGTGGGCAGGCAGGGCAGCAGGGCGTGTGAAGGGGACACCCTGAAAGATGCTGAGGCCCGCTGCCTCCTGTGGCTCGCGGCCAGGACTGTCGTCCTCAGCTGAGCCAGGGTGGCTCCCTGTGACTTGGTTTCTGGGCTGGGTGGCGAATGTAGGGAGCCTCAGGTTGCATGGCAGGGAGTGGGGACTGGTGTATTGGGTTTTCTAACCTAATGACACATCTCGTGACTTTCTATCCCTCTGCTACCTCCCCTATAGAAGCATCAGAAATCATGAAGAGCATTGGTGAGGCCATCCAGTATTTGCACTCAATCAACATTGCTCATCGGGATGTCAAGGTAGCAGCTGTTCATTATGCCCCCCTGCACCCCCAGCTCAGGTGCTGCAGAGGGCCCTGGGCTCACAGCCACCCTGGGAAGGGTTGCCAGAGTTGTCCTGTGTCCTTGCTGCCTGGTTCCTGAGTGCAGACTGAGGCAGGGTGCCATTCTCTGCTCTGCAGGGCCACCCTCTCTGGGCAAACTCCAGTAGGGAAGCCTCTGGCCGTGCCCAACCCCATGCTCAGCGTTGCATAGTCACACCCTTGGTTTCTCGGTCCTTGTGGTGTTTCTTGCTGGTTCTCTGCATTAGTCTCTTATCCCCAAGCACACCGTAAGCTCTCGGAAGGCAGGGAGCAGGCCATATCTCACTGATGTTGCTCATTGTGTTTAGATCAGGGGTCAGCAAACTGCGGCTCTTTGGGTACATTCTCTCTCAAAAGTTTGCCGACCCCTGGAAGAGCCAGTCTTGTCCCTAGAAGTTTTGTGAGACCTATAAAACAAATGAAATCACCATTATGTGAATACTATCCTTTAAAAATTTTATAAATGAAACTATGATAGTTTTATTTTCATTTTCAATTTTACTTCAGAGCCACATGTTCGTACCCAAAGAGCCACATGTGGCTCATGAGCCGCAGTTTGCTGACCCCTGGCGGCTCTTCCATCTCAAAAGTTTGCCGACCCCTGGTTTAGATCACAGGGGCTAGACACGTGGTTGTTGACGGAGAAAGGAAGGAAGGCATCTTTATCCTTTTGATTTCCAATAGCCCCTCACAGGTTGACGGAGTTCTTACTTCTCTCTCTCTTTCTGTAGCCCGAGAATCTCTTATACACCTCTAAAAGGCCCAACGCCATTCTGAAACTCACTGATTTTGGCTTTGCCAAGGAAACCACCAGCCACAACTCGTTGACCACTCCTTGCTATACACCGTACTACGTGGGTAAGTCCAGAGGCAGCTTGGGGGGCTCGTCCTTCCCCAGAACTTGTCCCTGTTCCTCCTCTTGCTGGTCTTAGGGCCACAGGTCCTGAGAGAGTCGTGTCCTCCGGCGCTTTCTGGCTCTGGTTCTGGTGAAACCTGACCTGACACAGGGCTTTTCAGAGTTAAGCTGGGATTGAGGCATCAGGAAATTGTCTGCCCGAGATTGAGGGCAGGATTCTCTGCACATGCGCACCTTTCCTGAGAAGAGTCGTCCTTTCCATCAGATTCCCAGTGGAGTCTGGACACAGATTCGGCTCTGCCACCCCAGCTGTCTGGCGCAGGATAAACCCTGAAATGTGTCAAATTAAAGGGACATTTATGGGTCTGAAAGCTCTTGCAGTTCAAGAATTGTTTCACCTGAAGATCCTAGCCCTAGGGTTGCTCTTGGAAGGATGGTCTTCTGCCTCCATCCAACCCTGGGGCTGGGTTATGGCTATTCCCCTTCCACTTCCAACTACAGTCTCATCATGATGGTCTGAAGGGATGGGCGCATTCACAGAGAAATTGGGGTAGGTCACAGTGTTCCGAGGGCCAGGCCCACTCGCATTGATTGACCTTTGGTTTGCAGCTCCAGAAGTGCTGGGCCCAGAGAAGTATGACAAGTCCTGTGACATGTGGTCCTTGGGTGTCATCATGTACATCCTGTGAGTGTGCTGGGGAGGGACCGAGGAGGGACGGGGGAGGGCTGGGAGGAGGCCTGTACCTCCCTGGGAGGAGACGAAGAGGTAAGGTTAGCATTCCCCCTCTGGATGGGGTACTCCCCAGGGAACCCCTTACAAATCTCCTCTTACTGCTCAGCAGGTTCTGATAGCTAAGTGGCGGGTATAAACTAGCTAATGGGCAGGAAAATGTGTGGTTTACACACTGGGTATGTTGGATTCCAAGGCCCTGTCCTGGACTTGTATATTGTGCCTGAATCAACGAGTCCCAGTTTCTCTGTGAGCTTTACAAGAAAAAGTCTGTTTCTCCCCCTATTCCTAGTGCAGGGCCCCTGTGACAGCAGTTCTGACCCTTTCCTCCTGCTTCCTTCCCCTTGGCTCAGGCTGTGTGGGTACCCGCCCTTCTACTCCAACCATGGCCTCGCCATCTCTCCGGGCATGAAGACTCGCATCCGGATGGGCCAGTATGAGTTTCCCAACCCAGAATGGTCAGAAGTGTCAGAGGAAGGTGAGGAGCCCATGTGTGCATGCGTGTGTGTGCACGTGTACACGTGTACGTGTGGGCCTCTGTCTCATGTGGGTGGTGTAGTTGTGGGTCTGCCCACACCAGCTGGGTATGTCCTGCCTGGGTGAAGGGCCTGTCAGATGGGAAGCGTGATGGTCCTCAGGGCAGCTCCTTGAGCAGTCAGCCCTATCCGACATCTTCTCCCCTCGGTTTCTCTCTGAAAACTGGGAAGGAGCAAGAGAGGGAGGCTGGCCCCTAAACTGTCTCTGTCCCCTGCCTCACCCCACAGTGAAGATGCTCATCCGGAACCTGCTGAAAACAGAGCCCACTCAGAGAATGACCATCACAGAGTTTATGAACCACCCCTGGATCATGGTAAGCCTGGCAGGTTGCAGAGACCTTGGTCCTTGGGGACTGTCCCTTGGGACGAGGGCTTAGCCAGGACTCTGCCCTGCCCAGGTTTGCACTCTGACCTTTTTTCTTTTCCTTCAGCAATCAACAAAGGTCCCTCAAACCCCACTGCACACCAGCCGGGTCCTGAAGGAGGATAAGGAGCGGTGGGAAGATGTCAAGGTGAGGGACCCACTGGCCGAGAGAGGCTCAGGAGGCAGCTCATGGGCAGGGGTGTGAGGGAAGGCGGGAAAAAGGCAGAGGGGCCCTGCTGCGGCTCATTGGTGGGCAGGGGGTCGCTGCTGGCTGGGGAGGGTTTGGTTCTGCATTTTTCTCACCCCAGGCAATGTCTGTTACAACAAGAACAAAATTCAGCCTCTTCCCTGACCGGTTTGAGGCAGAGGATTCTGTGTTCTGGTCTAAACTAGGCTTAGCTGTTTCTGACTTCTCTTCTCCCTGGGTCTCTAAAAGGACCTGAGAAGCCGTCTGGTACTATCTCTTCATTTTGTAGATGAGGAAACTGAGACTCAAGCAGGGGAGTGACCTGTTTAAGGTCACACAGCTAGTGACTGGCTGGGGCAGGCCACAGCCCAGGTCTCCTGACTTCTAGGCCAGTGTTCTTTCTGCCTTCCTATGGGGTCTTTGGAGGGCTCTTGGAAGAGCAGCGGCAGCAGAGGCCAGGCTCTGTTGACCCAGCCCGACGCTGAGGCTACTGTCAGCCCTGGACCCACTAACCAGCCTGCCTCTTGTCTCTGCTTTGGTCACCCTCATCCTGTCCTTACTTGTGTCTCTCTCGTCTCTTCCTTGCTATAACCCCCCGTGCCCCCCCAGGAGGAGATGACCAGTGCCTTGGCCACAATGCGTGTCGACTATGAGCAGATCAAGATAAAAAAGATTGAAGACGCATCCAACCCTCTGCTTCTGAAGAGGCGGAAGAAAGCTCGGGCCATCGAGGCCGCGGCCCTTGCTCACTGAGTCCCTTAGCCCATCCTGCTCCACTGGAGGACAAGCAATAACTCTCGACCTGGATTTATTTTTTAAATGAAGAGACACGGAGCTGTCCGCTGCTGCCTCCCCTCCTCAGCTGCATGGAACCCGGAGCCTTGTGAGAGGCTAAATTCTGCCTTTGATTCTGGCCACCCCAGAGAGGGAGAGGCTGGGAGGTCGGGAGGGCATGGAGAGAAGGGAGCAAGATGCTCTTGAACCTGTGCTCATTTTGCAGTTTTATCAGTAATTTGACTTAGAATTTTTATGAAACTTCTTTTGTTCTTCCCCCACTCCTCCTCTCTTTCCCAACCCCCTTCCTCTTGTTAAAAGGTGTTTGTGGAAACTGTTATTGGGAGTGTCCCATGTTGTCCCATCTGTCTCATTTCCCCACTACAGCCTGAGGTTCCCTCTGGCTGAGGCGTTCCTGGAGCTCAGGACCGTGGAGGGCTGGGGCCAGGATGCCACCCACCTCCTCTGCCGGGGCTGGAGCCCTCAGGCATCACCAGTGTGCCAGACGGATAGAAGTGTGTGTGTGTGTGTGTGTGCGCGCGCGCGCACCTTCCTGCCTGGATCTGTGCCTGCGACTGTGCATTTGTGGGGCCAGGGGCAGGCAGGGTTGCAAGTACCTTCTACCTTGGGCCGGCCCTGCCCGCGTTGGGCCTGCCACAGTGCCTGGAAGTCTGTCCAGACCCTGAGCGGCCCTCCGTGGCCTGCCTCTGTTAGCTGGTTCCTGGAGGTAGAGAGGGGTGACTTAGGCACTGGCACACAATCAGGAAGACTGGACCCCTTAACCCCTAGGACCCCTGACTCCCCATTTAGTGTTGGTCCTAGTCCTCTGAGGAGCTATTCTACCTAGTAATTTCCAGTTCCCTTTCAGCCGTTATTAACCCATTGTTTATTTTTCTTACATTTTTAGCCATTTCTCAACAGGCCTCCTCTCAGCTCTCATGGATGAGCCTGGGCAGTTTATAAGTGACATAAAGCTTCTGCATTTTGCCCTGGGCTCTGGGGTGCATCAGCCAGCTACCCCTTGAAAGGCAAAGGCAACACCACTTTTGTGGTCCATTGTGGGGCCTTGTGGGTGGGTGGGAGGAGGTCTTTGTACCAAAGATGTCCCGACTCTGCCCCTTCCCCATTTGCCACTTCACCCCCACCCCAAACAACTGGGCTTCATGTGTCCCAGCCAGGGAGGGGAGGGTCCTGCCCCAGTATTACTGAGGAGCAGCATGGGAGGGGAGAGGTCCTCTGTGCCGTGGTCCCTTTGGGGTGGGGGTGGCGGTAGTTCTTCAGCTTTCATCTCCCTCAGGGCAGGATGGTGGAGGAGCCTACCCAGGGACTTCTCTGGTGTGGGGGAAGGGCTCCGAGTGCCTGCATCGCTTCCTGTGCCTGATGGTGTGTCCAGCACTCAGATTGTTGTAAACTGTTGTTGTTTTGTATAAGCAAAATCGTCTTTACTAAACAGATTTAATAGTTGAAAGTTTCCTTTCTCTTCCTTCAGGGAGTCCAGCCCCTCGACTCCCCCGCCTCTTCTCTTCCCGCACGTGGAGAGTGGCCCAGTGTTCTGGGAGGGCAGCGGCCGGGTGTCTTGGGAGAGAGGAGGGGAAGAGGACAGCCTCCTGGCTGAGTGGGAGCCAGCATCTGCCCTGTTGAGGGCCTGGCCTGGACGGGTCTGGTGTAGGGGCGTGACTGTTGCTCTCCTTTAGAGCAGGGTGAGGGTGCCAGTAAGTGCTGGGGAGCCCATGCTGTTTCACCAAATACTGAGTCCAGAGCCTTGTTGCCTCTTGGCACATGACTTTGACCTATTCAGCCCTAGCCAGACACCTAGCCAGACAGCCTAGCCTGGCTGGGCTGACTGGCATGGGGGTCCAGGGAGAAGAGGGTGGTGATGATTTGGTTCAAATCCTGGAAAAGATATCTAGGGAGCAGGTTGGTGTAGTTTTTTAAAGATCCAGGAGGGGGCGATAGGGGTCAGGCAGAAAACCAAACTACATGGGAGCTGGAAGAGGCCTCAGGGCTCATGTGACCCATTCCCCTCAATTCACAGGTGAAAAGACTGAGGCCCGGAGGGGGAGGTTTGAGATCACACAGTGACTTGGTATGCAGTAGGGCCTAAGGTAGAAACTGGTCTACTGACCCCACTGCTTTCCCAGTCAGACAGTAGAATAGTGTGCCCTAGATAATTTCCCATGTTCTCGCGTGGTCCTCAGAGCTATCAGGGGAGAAAGGCGAGGCAGGGTGGCTCTCCCTGTCCTGTGAGTGAGGAAACCAGTGGAGAGGGAGAAGGAATGTGCTGGAAGGCCACGAGGCTAACTGGTTTGGACTGGAACTCAGGATCCCAAGGCCTGGGGCATCCCTGGCCTGGAGGAGAGGCCTCTTTATCTCCTTAGTCACTGGTCAGGTTATGTCTCCTCTGCTCAAGCTCACGGGCACAGGCAGGGTAGTCCCTGGTGGCCCTGTGACCGTCCCTTCATTCCTCCTGAATGGATTTCTGTGGTTCATTCCTATCTTAAAACTACTCATCACTCTAAAAACCACGGAGTGAACAGCACAAGGTGTTGCTTTCAGAGAAAGCCAGTTATGTTGTCTGAGCTTGTGGAGGCAGCAGTGAAAAGAATCTGGGGAAGAGGAAGTAGGGTGGTAGGAGCGGAGCCTGGGGGAGGGGTGAAGGCGGTTGTTCAGTACCCTACTGTCTTTGGAGGCTGATTCGTTTTCTATTGCTGCCATAATATATTTCGTGACTTACAACACAACAAACTTAATATCTTATAGTTTTGTAGGTCAGAGTGTTCGATGGGGTCTCACTGGGCTGAAACCCAGGTCTCAGTAGAGCTGCATTCCTTTTTGGAGGCTCTAGGGGATTTCGTTGCCTTTTCCACCTTCTAGAGGCTTCTTCATTCCTTGGCTTGTGGTCCTCTTCCTCCATCTTCAAAGCCAGCAACAGCGCATCTCTCTGACCTTTCTTGTGTTCACATCTCTCTGACCTAACTAGGAAGGAGTATCTACTTCTAAGGGCCCCTGTGATTCAGTTGGGCCTACCCAGATCATTCAGGAGGTCCTTAACCTTAATCTCATCTGCAGAGCCCCTTTTGCCATGTTCACAGATTAGGTGCAGAGATTAGGATGTGGGCCTCTGTGGGTCACTGCTCTGCCACAGAGGCCTGTCTCACAGTCTTGTCATCCCCTTGCCCCACACGTTGATGCTGTATTTTGCTCCCTCCTCTGTCTGGGTCAGGCCAGCTCAGGACACTTGTGGCCCGTGAGGATCAGCCTGGAGTTGGTATTCAGGGAAGTTGATGGGGATGAAGGGCCAGGAGTGGCCCCGCTGGGCAAGTGGGTCTGACCATGCCTTTCCACTCTCCCCCGTGACCTGACCTTGCATGCTGGCTGGCCCTGTGAAGCCCCCTGTCTCTAGGGGTACTTCACCACCTTCCACTGAACTTCCAGATGGGATGGCAATGGTGGCACTTCTGTACTTACAGGCAGACACTGGCTTGCATGGGAGCAGGGGCAACAGGATGTGATTTTTGAACACTCCGCGGTGTGAGATGCAAAGAGGGCACACAGATACTGTGCTGGGTTATTCTCGTCGGTCTCCACCAGCATAAAAGCTCTCTGAGGTAGGCAGTCTAGCCTGCAATTTACCTGTGAGGAAACAGCCTCAGAGAGGAAGATAACTCTCCCAAGGCCTCACAACTAAGCATCGGTGGATCTGACTTAGAGCTCCTGCTTCCAAGTTCAGAGCTCCTTAAAAACACACTGAAGTTGTTTTGATAAGGATGGGGGGGGGGGAGGAGCTGAGACTGGATTCCTCTGCACTGAGTTTCCCTTTCTATGAAATGGGGGTGACATTCTTGAGCCCTGTAGCTATTGTGAGGCATTCAAGATTATTTAAATTCTTCGTAAGATGTCTGGTGGCCTTTATCACTACTAGAGCTCTACCCTCAGGTGGGTTGCCCTGCCCAGAGGGCACAGGGAACCCCAGGTTTGGAGTGAGGCCAGTGGTCTAGGCTGGGTCTGTGCTCCTGCCCTCAGCCTGAGGGCGTGTCTCTGAGTCTTGGGGTGAGGAAGCAGTTGGGTTGGTAAACAATAACAGTAAATTTGGGGTTTTCCTTTGACTGGGTTGGAGACAGGAAATGTGGAGGGCTGTGAATGATGAGTGGGTAGAGTGGGTAGGTCGGCCAGCTCTGGGTGTGAAGGAAATTCAGTTGTTCAAAGGTGGTGGGGTTGGTGAGGCTGGGGAAAGTGGCAGCTCCATCATTGGTGAATGTAAGTAAACAAGCCTGCTGGGCAGTCCCCATGTGGGCCAGAGTGGGGATGGAGGAGGCTTTGGGATGCATCCTCTGTGCCCTCAGCCCTGGAAATACAGCCTCTGCCTGGCTCTGTCAATTGAAGCCCAAGTTTAGGGACCCCAGCCACCCCTGGGGGAGTCTGGCCAAGTTTGGGAGTAGCCACTCACTTGGAAGGGACTCCAGGCTCCAGCTTGGGGGGTGCCTTTTGGTGAGTTCATCTACCTCTCCTCTCCCTGCACTCAGACCAGTGTGAAGAGACCACCCAACAAACTAAATCACTAAATCCCCAGGCACTTACTATATGCACTATGCTTTGGGAAAAACAAACAAGTGTAAGACCTGATTCCTGCCTGGTTCCTAGTCCGTGAGATATAACACGTGTAAACAGGGTGTTACCGGAGTGCGGGCCCTTCTCAAGGCGATTCCCGGGCTTGGTTTCCACATCAGCGGTCGAACCCAGCAGTGTCCAGGCCAGGTCCCCACACCGAGGCCCGAACCCGGGCCTCGAGGAAAACTGGGAATCCTAGCCACTACGTTGCCAAAGGATGGGCCCTTGTCAGCATAGTGTCCAGGTTCTTGGCACCTTGATCGATCGAGCAAAGAATTGAATGAGACACAGAGGTAAAGTGGGAAAGAACAGTTATTAGAAGAAAAAGTACACTCCAAAGAGGTAGAAGCGGGCCCAAGCAAAAGTATGGCTCAAAAAGGCTGTGGCTCGGGCCGGCCGAGTGGCTCAGTTGGTTAAGAGCTCAAGCTCTGAGCAACAGGGTCACCAGTTCGATTCCCACATAGGCCAGTGACGCTGCGCCCGAGCTGAGCTGCTGCTGAGCCGCCAACAGGTGGCAGGATGGCTCAGCTGGTGAGAGCATGTGCTTCTAACAAGGTTGCCGGTTGGACTCCCACATGGGATGGTGGGCTACGCCTACCCGCAACTGGAAATGGCGCCTTGAGCTGAGTGGCCGCGAGCTGCGGACGGGCGGCTAGATAGCGACTGGACTTGGAGCTGAGCTAGCTGCGTCGTCCACACCTAAGATTGAAGGACAACAACTTGGCTGTTTCCCTTCCCCAA